CGGTTTTGTCTGTCCACACGCAGACACCCAAAACGGAGAAAACGCAGATCTTCACTTTGGCCGGAGTTTTTAAAAAGATCCGTTTTCGTGTGAAAAAACTCCGTTTTCGTGTGGATGACAGGCCAAAACGTAGAAAAATATCCACGTTTTGGCAGATCCCCGGCTACGTGTGGACAGGGCCTCAGACACAACAACTGCCAAAAATCATTGTACTAACAGGACATTTTGCACTTGCTTACATACTGTTCACAACACTGTAAAACGTATGTTCAAAACAATAACATACTGCAAAACTGAATATGACAGCAAAATCCAACAGCAATATGTTATTGAAACATAAATGCAGTTTAACCAGCCACAGCTGACTCCAATTGTAGATGTAATTGGGCCATACAACACTGGACGGCTCCGTGCGTTCCTGCATGATTGCTATGGAAGGGTTGTGCTAGGTGAGGAAAGGGATGTGGACAGATGGAATCAGCCAACATGTATGGGACCATGTGGCATTTCACCACTCCCATGCAGTCACAGAGTGGTTTGTGGCCCATCCCAGAATGGAGTCACTTTTCCTCCCACCTTACTCTCCATTCCTCAACCCCATAGAGGAATTCTTTGCCTCATGGCGGTGGAAGGTGTACGACCATCATCCACATAATCAAATGTCCCTTCTGGATGCATTGTATGCTGGATGCCTGGACATACCAGCAGTAGATTGTCAGGGATGGATCAGACATGCCAGAAGATTCTTTCCTAGGTGTATTGCCCTAGATCCATGTTTCCCACCCCTGGTCCTCAAGGCACACTATCCTGCATGTTTTCCATGTTGCTCTTTAAAACACCAGTGTTTCCCTGCTGCCACACACCTGACTTAAATGAATGAGTGATTAACAGGCATTTACAGCGCTTGATGTCCACTTGAGAAGGCCATGTAAATCAGGTGTGCTGAAGCATAGACATGGAAAAGATGTAGGACAGAGAGTCCTGAGGACCAGGGTTGGGAAACACTGCCCTAGGTGACATAAGATGTGATGTGGATGAGAACCTGTGGCCAAATGGAGAAGGCCGAGTAGATTAGCATATTGAATCTGTATCAGTGGATGTTGTGTTTACAAAGTCTTGTGTTTTGGAAGTACTTAGTGCAAAAACAAATACCATTAAAAATAAATGAACAACATGAAATATTGACTAATTCTGCATCATGTCTGATTCATTCCAGTGACATCTATTGGAAGTATGAACAGAGATGTGTCCTTGTTTTACACAAGAAAATGTAATGCTACATGTTGTTTGTGTTTTTTAGGTCTTTGCTTTGTGGGTGACAAAGTGTGTTTGTTGGCTGTCAACCTTTGCTAGTGTTCTGGAGGAATGTGTTTATTTGAGACCTGAATGAAGTGTTTTGGTGGTTTTAGTTTTGCCAAGCTGAAACTCAGTTAGGAGAACTGTGTGAAGTGTCTAGCAAAAGTGACATTAGTAGTGAGAAATGGGTCCTAACGTCTGTAAAAAACTGTAAATGTGCCATATAAATAAATTTGGTATGGTATAGTATGGTATGGTATGGTATGGTATGGTATGGTATGGTATGATATAGTATGGTATGGCATGGTATGGTATGGTATGGTATGGTATGGTATGGTGTGGTATGGTATGGTATGGTATGATATAGTATGGTATGGCATGGTATGGTATGGTATGGTATGGTATGGTATGGTATGGTATGGTGTGGTATGGTATGGTATGATATAGTATGGTATGGCATGGTATGGTATGGTATGGTATGGTATGGTATGGTATGGTATGGTATGGCATGGTATGGTATGGTATGGTATGGTATGGCATGGTATGGTATGGTATGGTATGGTATGGTATGGTATAGTATGGTATGGTATGGTATGGTATGGTATGGCATGGCATGGTATGGTATGGTGCAGCCCAGAAAGAAGTTAATGCCACCTAATTTTGAGAGAATATAAAATGGAATAATATTCCATAATGAAGTAGGATTTCTAAAGAGTTGTTTTATCCAATTAACCTTAAATGTATTATTCAGAGTTTGAAAATAAAAAAAAATGAAGACCACCATTATCAAATGAGTTCATAACAACTGTCTTCTTCAAATAATGATTTCTATTTTTCCACACAAAATCAAATTGCATTTTGTCAATCTCTTTCAAGTCCTTGTTGTCAAGGAGCAGAGCCAAAGCTGCATATGTTAAGTGTGTTATGATTCCCTCAGCTTCAGTCAACAGGATTCTCCCTCTAAAAGATATATCCCACACAAGCCATTGGTTTAGTTTACACTGAGTATTATGTATAATTGGTTTAGAGTTCAAAGTGCTTATTTGATTTTGATCTTTAGTAACTAAAATGCCTAGATATTTACTTCATTTTTATGTAATGGGGATATTGAGAAGTTCAGACTTAGAGCAGTCTTTGACGGCTAAAAGTTCACATTTTTTGAAGTTCAAGCATAGTCCAGATGCCCCAAAGAACTCTTCTATTACTTTAATGGCACTGGGAACTTGGCTTTCATCTTTTTTTTTTTTTTAAAGTGTGGTGTCATATGCTAGTTGTGTTAGGATTAGTTATCTACCAAGCAGAGAAATGCCTTCAATATTACTCATTTTAATGCGAGAGGTCAATAATGTGCCACAGTCAAGAACAGATACGGTGAGGCCAGACAACCTTGTCTTATACCGCGGGATATATTAAATAGATAACGTCCCACCTGGTAGTTTAATGGAACCGTTGCTGTTTATTTAAAGAATTTTAATTTCAGAGGAAAAAAAGGCCACCAAAACTAAATGTATTTAATGATTGCAGAAGCCTGAGAGCTTAAGGGTTCTGCAGTATCTTAGCTGTTCCTAGAACTGCACTTTTCCAGATGTCTGATGTTTTCCCTGGAATCTGCTTTAGCCACTCCTCCAGTCTGGGGGTTACTACCCCACTGATGTCTTCACTCTCCAGGTTTTCTCAAGTTCTTCTCTGAGGCCCTGATATTTCTACAGTTTCTCATGTACCCTTTTCCTGATGTTGCATCACTTGGTATTGCCACATCAACCACAACAACTGTCCTCTGTTGTTTGTCCACCACCACAATGTCCGGTTGGTTCACCATCACCATTTTGTAGGTCTAGATCTGGAAGTTCCACAGAAGATGGTTCTCTCATTCTCAACCACCTTAGGGGTGTTACCCACTTTGACATTGGGGTTTCCAGTCCATACTCTGCACAGATGCCAGCCGCTTGGTTGGGGCGTTCCATGTAAGCTTTCCCTGCCAGCATCTTACACCCTGCAGTTATGTGGTGGATTGTCTCAGGGGCATCTGTGCACAGCCTACACCTTGGATTTTGTCTGATGTGGTAGATCTTGGCTTCTGTTGCTCTGGAGTTCAGGGCCTGTTCCTGTGCAGCCATGATGAGTGACTCTGTGCTGTCCTTCAGACCAGCTCTTTCTAGCCATTGGTTGGATTTCTTGATATCAGCCACAGTTATCTGTCTGTGGAACATCCCAAGGGGTTTATCCTCCCACAATGGAATTTCCAGCGCCTCCTCCTCCATTCACCATTGTCTGAGATATTTACTGAGCACATCTTCTGTTGGGGCCTTGTCCTTGATGTACTCATGGATCTTGGATGTTTCATCCTGGACAGTAGCTCTCACTCACTCCTCCTTCCTTATGGCCAGTGATGGGAATAACGCTGTTTAAAATAACAGCGTTACTAAAATAAAATTGTTTTTTTCAGTAACCAGTAATCTAATTAATTACCATCTTAGTGATAAGAAAACGCGTGCGTTTGCTAAGTCAGCAGCACAGTGTGATGAAGCTGTCATCAGCTGATTGGGAGCTAAAGAGGCAGATGTTTTCATCCAAGCGAATCACGGCCCGTGAAGAACGAGGAAGACGTGATGAATGGTAACAGCTGCAGACCTGCAGATGTGCTGCTGCAGGTATGAATCTGCAGCCATGCCCTTCTTGGCATGACAGCAGGAGTCCTGAAGATTCGCTCACCCATTTACCACTCTGACGTTACGATCTTCTACCTTCCTAGATCATACAACTGTAACCTGTTTCTGATAATTTCTTTTATATATATATATATATATATATATATATATATATATATATATATATATATATGTATGTATATATATATATGTATGTATAGTGAGAATATTGTGTGACAAGAAGAGGCACAGGCGCAAAAAGATTAAATATATATATTTTTTTTTCTTTCTTTTTTTGCGCCTGTGCCTCTTCTTGTCACACAATATTCTCGCTTCTTATCTTGAGAGGCACCATATACAGAAATGATAACTGGACAGCTTGAAAGTTGACATGTATTAACCTTTATTTATCCAGATGAGTCGACTGAGAACTCATTCTCATTTACAACAAGCAGCAACATAGTTATCTTTTACATCAAAGAAAAAACGGGTAAGATAGAAAAAATAATTATTCAAGACAAAAATAAGATAAAACTATTAGACCTAAAGACAACAGAGTGTTCTCATTTACAATATGTACAAGCAATTAAAAAAACAGACGTAAAACAGTCTTTATGTAATTAGAAGCAGCAAGTATTAATGTTCTTCTTAGTTATTTTATAGTAATTTCCAAAGAACATATTACAATGTTTGCATATATCATTCCAATAAATGTCACTATTGTCAGAACGAATTCTTATCTAAGTCATTGAAGTTTAAATGCTCCATTCATACAGCTAAATACAATGGCTTTTAAATGGCTTCCTAAATAATTTTAAGCAATAAAGCTGGCTTTTTTTTCATCCAAATCAAATGGAATTTGTCTTATTCAATAAGATGATTTGCTTTCACATGACGTTTTTCACTTTTTGCTAAAATCATTTGCAGCCTTTGCACTCCTGAAAATCTAGGTTTTCCGATGGGGAAGGGCCTTTCGTGAATGCACCACCAACATGGCCGATAACTGAGTTACGTTAGGTTAGCATTCACGCGGCCAGTGCCGCTGAATGCTAGTTTTCGCTTCAAGTTCAACTGGATTCTCTCATAACAGCCAGTTTCTCTCCTCACCCTTACATACACACATCTGTTTTAAATTCTTCAAACTAAAATGTTTCGTGTGTATCAACAGTATTTTACTTGTGTGTTAAACCGCTTTGGTGGTAGGTGAAACCAGGTTGAAACACAAATAGACCAATCAGACAGAGGTTAGCACTTGGGTATAAAACTATGGCGGTTGACGTCGACACGTCTGCCGTAGTGTTGAACTCGAGAGCCCGTTAAATCACTCAAGGTGTTTCGGTATGTAGCATTTTGATGAACTAAACTTGGTGTAAACTTGATACGGTGGCTGCTGTGGTTTAATAACCAAGTAGGGAAGATATGTTGACATGCGTTGTCTCTTGTTGATTTAGAGAGCCAAATTCAGAATTTAGCATTAGCAACGTTAGCTATGCTAATTATCGCAGTAAAGCTAATTTAATATTTTTGTTTTTGACTTTAAAGTTAAAGTAGCACAGTGGCGTTTACATTTCAAGAACTATTTGTTTCTGGTGTTTAAAATAATGAAAAAAAATAATTCTTTCTGAAACACGGTTTCAGTGCCAGCCAGTTTAATCACAAAGTGCTGCATTTATCAGTTAAAGATGTTATTGTAATGTTCTTCACATTCGGGCAAACGGAACTGAATCAACTCTATGAGGTAATAAATGCTAAGAAAATACCAAAACATGCTACCAAAGTCGCTGAGCTATTTCTTTCCCGTGTACCTGATTGTTTATTGCTTGGTATATATGTCGATGCTTTTGTTAAGAGGCATATCAATCTTGTGCGTGGCTCATTTTTGTGATTAAATCAGTCAGTTATTTGCTCAACTGCTCATTTTCACACATTAACAAAATGTCCACCTGTTACAATCTGTTCCAGCTGCGATTCGTCCAGCTGATCCAAATGAAAAATCTGCATGTATTTAGCCTCTTTCAAGTATTTTATACTGAGTTAAACACAAACGTTCACTTGAACACATAACTTGCTTGTTTATAAGGTGGATGTATTTATTTCCCCTATTTTCACACAGTTCTAATGGGAGATGGATCATATTGTTCCTATTGCGTTTTTGACAGGGAAAATTATTTTCTTAACCTCTCAGTTTATTGGGAAACCAAGCTTTAATAAACAGCAGTATGAAATCCAAATTGGTGAGCACAAGTCTTTGAAAGGTGTTGGCCAACCTCCACAATCAGAATCAAAACCACTTTGAAATCAAGCAGGTGTGGTGTTGTTGTTGTTAATAATATTACCACCCCGTTTTTGAAGATGGGTTGTCTTGCTCAGAAGCCGGATAAATAAGAAAAAAACGTCTTATCTTAAAATGTTGAATGTATTACTGAGACGGCTTTGCTCTGTTAAATTAAAGGAAAACTTAAGAGCAAGTCACTCCCAAATCTACTTTTTTTTTGCTGCTAAACTATATAAACAAGTGTCTAATCATGCTGTAGACACGTGCAGTCAATAATTTGGCTCTTTAGTGCATCTTAGTTAAAATTTAAATATTCGTCCTAAAACTGTCAGTGTTGCGCCATCGTCGGGTAAAAACTCTGCACTACATTTGAATTTTAATCTGCCATCGCTAATGGCTAAGAGGTGCACAATGACGTTAGCTGGTACTAGGGCTGGGCGATATGGCCTCAAATCTATATTGCGATATAATCTGAAGCATGAGCGATTGTGGAGGTTGTAGACTGAATAAGTTAAAAATATTTGATTTATTTCACGGTTAAGCTGGTTAAACACATACTTTATTGAAATGAGTGATTTGTTGAAATATTTCGTAATGTAGAAGACAAGTTTATCTAAAATGCTATTTTGCTCATGAGTGAGAGTTAGAATGCACTGCAGTTTAAGATCGAGTGATCTGTGATCGATTATTCCTGCCTTGTCAAGACGACACAAAATTTGCTTCTAAAAAGTGCTTCTGATGTATTTGCCTAAGTATTATCTTTTATGTTTACAGTTTTATTTATTTTACGATTACGATATATACTGCGATATATTTGTTTTCCTTTGTTTATATATGTCAGAATGACATGCTTTAAAAAATTCTCATATGGAAAATATATTGCAGCAGAATAAAGACGTCCAAAAAGTGTAGAATGCTCCTCCTCCTCCTCCCGCTACATGCTTGCAGTCACTGCCATTCTGTTGTTCCAATGTTGGCGCGGGTGCACATCTTAGTGACATCATGTGTTATCGCGGTAGAGCCAAAAACTTATCATTACCCAATTTTATATCATTTCTACCTTATATCATTTATATTGCCTACCCCTATCTGGTACATTATGATGTCACAATGCTGTTGTGAGCTTGTCTGTATTTGTTAGTGGCTCCACCCTCTCGGTCTTCCAGGCCACAGCATTACATGAAGGAGTAGAGTAAGTTTCTTGTAGGGGGTGACTTGCTCTTTAACTCGTGTAACAAATCCAAGAGATACCACTGTAACTTAGTGGTTTAATTTCTAACGCAATATTGGCTTTTTGTTTGAGTATTTTATTTATTTATTTATTTTTAGGGTTTTACCGTAATTTTATTTAATCTAACCTCCACATGTGGTAGCCTAAATGGATTTATTTCCTGTTAGGCTGACTTTTCATTTGATAATATGCACAAACTTAAACCACCAGCTACATTAGGGAACACTGACAGTATAACATGACTGTATCATATTGGGCTGAATATTGAATCTCAGTAACAGATTCAGGGAACGTCCTGCAGGTGGCACTGTTACACAGGTGAAACACTGCTCTGGTTTTGACTTCAATTCCAAGTTCTTTTCTGTCTCCACATAAAATAAGTTGTTTTTTAATGTGCTTAACATTTCAGAGTGTTTTCCCCCCTTTGGAAACAACAAAACTGCTTGGATCAGTTCTCCATGGGTGTTAAATAGTTTGATTTTGTTTAGAAGTCAACAATTGCTTAGAATTTCGTTATGACATAATAAAATGTGTTGTTTAATGTTAACAGGAAGTATAAAATTTTTTGAAGGATAATTCAAACAAAAATTTGAAACGCGTTATCTTTTTGAGATAAATTGTTAGAGCAGTTGATTTTTGTCTTGTAGTTTAGTCAACTCAAAATATTTAAAAGGTCTTCTGTTTTATTTTGTGACATTGCCGTTCGTATTTTAAGTCAGAATTTTTGACTGGAATATAAATATTAAGCAGTCAGAATAAATGTGTGAGGATGCCACACATAGAGGTTTTGTTATTTATGCTGTGAAGTTTTCATGAACTTAGTTTTTGTTTCAAACACTCATCACTATTTATTTCTTATACAGGAACGTGTGGGATGAGCTCTGAATTACAGCAGATAAGTCTCCAGGTCGTTTTGTTTGGTAGAACAGAATGTCTGATGTGAATGTCCTCCCCACTGGGAATGGAAACCCACCCCCACCAGAAGTCCTAAATCCCAACAAGCTTGGTCGTTTAACCAATCAGCTCTTGTTTCTGGAGAAGGTAGTGATGAAAGCTTTGTGGAATCATCAGTATTCCTGGCCTTTTCACCATCCCGTTGATGCTGTATCGTTGGGCCTCCCAGTAAGTGTTGATGTTAGATGTTTGTTTGTTTGTTCTGAATCCCCATCAACCTCGGAGAGCCAATAAAAGATTGTTGGTGTCTTCATTGTTTTTCAGGATTATTATACAATTATTACAAACCCCATGGATCTGAGCACCATCAAGAAAAGACTTCAGAACAGATATTACTGGGAAGCAATGGAATGTATAACAGACTTTAGCACCATGTTCACAAACTGCTATACATACAACAAGGTAATGAAAGGACAGCAGCAGCACTTATTTATTCAGATTGTTTACAATATTTACTGTACCTAATCAAACCTCTCTGTAGGATGTTTAACTATCCTGAAAAACTTGGCTTTGTTTCTAATTTAGGCTGAATTGTATATGGAATTTTCTATCACTTGGTTGTTTATGTCCTGTTTGTTTTTATTCCACAGCCAGGAAATGACATCATCATCATGGCACAGACCTTAGAGAAGTTTTTTTTGCAGAAACTGTCTCAAATGCCAAAGGAAGAGTCTGTTACCACTGTCGCCACCGTGGAGCCAGCAAAAGGGAAAAAGGCAACAGCAGGTGCTTTTAAACAGGCAGATATTAAGTCTGTGATCTTAATTACAATTTAAAATCGTTCTTACGAACAAAACTTGTTAGTAATGTGTTCAGTCATTCTACTGACTTGTTTTAACTTGGAACTTTTACCTGAAGACAGTATCTCACTGGGGACTGACTAGACTGAGGCACAACATTGTGAGAAAGTTAGAATCGTAATAAATTGGTGCTTCTGACCTTTCTATGACTGTTTTTATGACCCAAGCATGCTATTGTGCATCTACAAAAAATTTTCACTTTCCTGCATGTTTACCTGTGACTCATTAAAGTATCTCTGTTATGTCTTTTTTTTTCCCTGTTCTCAGTTTACTTTGTTTCTTTGCTATTTGATCACCACCTTCTCTCAGACATGTCTCCTAATTCTCATACTTCTAATTTGCCTGAACTAAATCGAGACCATTTCAAAACGAGTGTTGGCCTGAGCAGTTGCAGCCTAGTGAGATATTGGCTTAATCCCTGTGCGTGGTTGTGCTTTTGATTCTCTCTTTAGCAGGTGCAGTAAAGCAGAGATCTCTGGCATCAGAAGTCATTCTCCAGCAGACGGTCACAGTCGTTCCCCTTGATCAGATCAACCAGCCCAGCCAGCTGTCTGAACAAACCACAGTGACCGTAAGATTGAGTTTGGTTGTAGGAAACTATAGATGATGTTATGTGTTGTCAGTAAGGATGTAATATACATTCTAACCACCATATTGAAAGGAAAGCCATCAGTTAAAGTCCAGCTAAATGGAACAATAATGGTTATTGATTTGTTGTCTTTGGTTGGAACAACCCTTGAGCCTGCCTGATGAGGTGTCTTGTCATAACAGCCTAGGTCCTTTTATCATCTTATCAAGCAGTCAGACCTCCCATTCATGAATTAATTTAAAAGGTTTAAAGATAGTTCCCTACACATTACAATATGCTGAGTGAAGTGATGCAGCATTAATCAGCTGGAAAGAAAGATATTTTAAACTTGTATTTCAAATATGATCTGAGGCTGTCTCCTGCGGGGAAATAATGAAAGCTTTAAAGAGCAAGTTCACTGGGTTTTTTTGTTTTTTTCTCCATCACATGTGCAGTGGTCTCTGATCTAAATAAATGCTGTCAGAGTTGATCTCTATGGGGGGAAAAAGCTCTCCTGGTTCAGGAAGTGGAGACAGCAGAGCTGAGCTTCAGACGGCAAGATTTGGAGTCTTACTTCCTGATATTTGGACATCTCTCCTCTGATTGGCTAATAGCAATGGGACTCTACCACTGACTCCATCTGCTCTTCAATGTTGATTTTTTTATCTCCACAAGTAACACAAGCCTAAAGGAGTTCTGCCATGTTTCGGAATTGCTAATGCTAATGGTTAGCTTCTACTAGCCGAGACATGCTCTGCTCTCTCCTGGACACTAAAACTCTTCCCTGGTAGTGAGCTAAAATGGGTGAGTCCATGAAGGCTAATTTTCAGTGTGACATGTATAGTGGTAGGGTATCTTTAGGCTGCATGTTAAAGTCAGTGGCCAACCATAAAAAAAATAAATATGAAAACAATTGAAGGGGTTCTCAGAGAACTTGGTCTCTAAACACGACTCCAAAGCAGTGGTTTACCTAGTTTTGTTATTTTATCAATAAAAGTAAGACACCGACTTTGTCTAAAACATTTCTAAGTTGCTAACTCGATGCTGTTGAAGTAAGTGGGGCTCACAGTATGGCAGTACCACTGTATTTAAAGGTCCGGAGGCCACTAAGAGGGGGGCTTGTGGGCCGGACCCAGGCTGCCTATTGAGTACCACTGTTATAGATGTTTGTAGCGTACGCAGCTACTATTGGGGTCACGCACTCAAAACACATCTGAAAGTCAGTTTCTTAACATTTTTATTTCCAGCATATGTGCATGGGTGAATTTTTTTTTTTTGCACACACTCGCTTTAGTGTTTAGGCTCTCGCTGCCTCAGTTTAAAGCCTAATTTATACTTCTCCGTCAGCTCCATGAGGGAGAGACGCACGCTCTGACAGATGTTTTACCTTTGGACTTCTCCGTCGCCTGGGAAGTGTTGCAAAGCAATTCGCCACCAGGTCAACAGAGGCCGTTGCACTGTTCTGTGGTACCCTGTCATGTATCTGATCCAAGAGGGTGCATTTACAAATTGTGGGATTTTTTTGTATTTAACTCATTCACTGCCAATGACGACTAAAGTCGTCATTTGCATTTTTTTACTGTTTGAGCATCGGAACGAGCCCCCGCGCTGAGAGGACAAACATCTCAGCTCTGAAGCCGATCTTCATCCGCATACGTCACAGATCACATGATCAGGAAGCAACACATCCATGTGTTTGGAGATCGTTTTGGGCCGTTCCTGTAAAAAAAAGTGAGGCGCGAACCGGAAAAGCGTCTGCCGATCACAATTTGACAACGGATGGAAGAACGGATAACGCTCGAAACACGCAGCTTCTTCCTGATGTAAGAGGCAAGTCTCCTCTTTGTTTTGGTTGTTTTGGCATCGACATCATGCTAGTGTGCAACGTTCTGTGACTCTTAAAAAAAACAGTAAAAACTGTGAGAAACGCTGGCAGCGAAGGCCGTTAGTGATCAGGAAACGGCTGGCAGTGAGTGAGTTGAGACTTTTTAACACGGACAAATTGTCTCTCATTCTCCTCCGCCTCTTCATGTGCTCGCCACCTCTAAACCCACGTTTCCTGTAATTTTTGTCTACGAATATCACCCTTGCTCCTCCAGTCACAAGTGAATAAAACTTTCATATTTTTAGAGTTTTCCGCAAGGTATTCTTCAAGCTGCTCCATGTCTGCCACTAGATATCCTCTGCTCTCTTAGTGATTTTGCGGTGGCGCTGTAGACGAGAGCGACATCTTGACCAAAAACAAGCTCGCGTTCTCCGTCTCGTTGGACCGATTATTAGAAAAGAGAGCTAGACCCCGTCCATCCTTGCAAGCCTGTTAGAGAGCCCTTGAAATAACGGATAATGATGTTGCGTGCGTCCGTCCCGATGCAGACGAAGTATAAATTAGGCTTAATGTGCAACGTTCCTCTCCTCCACAGACACGCTTGTCCCAGCACACCACCACAATGTTTTAATGCTGTAAAACCCCTCGCCACATGCTTTATACACAATACTTTATACACAATATTCTCAGACAACATTTTCACACCACACTCAAATTTCAAACCTTTGTACATTTGGACGCAGAACACAATGCGCTGTTATAAACAAAAAAGATGCCAGTGGTTTCTTTACTAGAATTCTCTGGCCATTAACATTGTCTGTTGGGCTGCATGGTGGTGCAGTGGTTAGCACTGTTGCCTCGCAACACGAAGGTCGCAGGTTCGAAACTCGGCTGCGGCCTTTCTGCGTGGAGTTGCGTGTTCTCCCCATGCATGCGTGGGTTTCCTCCGGGTACTCCGGTTTCCCCCACAGATCACAACATGCCCTACAGGTTGTAGAAAAAAAAAATTGTAAGTCGCTTTGGGTAAAAGCGTCTGCTAAGCACATAAACATAGAGAAGTTCCAATCACGTTTTTCTGCTCCCAATCACATTCTCAGTCATTTGATTTTGAGCATCTGCCGATGCAGAGTCCCGATCCGATGCTTTTCAAAAAAGCATTAAAATAAGAAGGAAACACGTCCAAATTGTCCTTTTAAGTTTAACTTTCATTTATTTTGGAAGTACACCAATTTAAAAACGTGTTTATTTTGTGAGTATACTTAAACGTAGCAGCTTTGCTCTTATTTCTAGTTGTTTACCTTCAGTATGCAGCGGTGAGCCGCGTTTACGTGACGGAGCAGGTAGGCGGAGCCTTCGGGAGGCAGGGTAACTTTTCTCTGCATAACACCGGCAGCTCCGTGCTGCAGAACTAGAAACCCCGATGTTTTGCAGTCTGTTGGCCATTTCTCTTTGTTTATTAGCATTACTTTCTCTGTCGCCTGGCTCTGCTCGTTTGTCTGACTTCACTGTGAACTGTGACTGTTTGAGGTAAACTGGGGATAAATGGAAACCGGTGATTTGCTTTGTTGATGCCCGAAGGGGAAAGCCAACAGCGACAGTAGCTTGTTTGAAGGCAGCAAATCGTGGAGCCATGTCCAGCATGTTGAATGTTTTCATACAAGGAACAAGTATTATTGATGTAGAGGGACTTATTGAAATCAAAATTAAGCCATTTTTATTCAATTAGAAAATCTTTATCTCAGGATAAATTTAAAAAGTCATGATTGTTGTTTTAAAATGTTAAATCTGATTTCTCCGGATTCCAATCACGTGATCGGATTGGAGCATCCCTAATTGTCTTTAGCATATTTTATCCGCTGGAAACCTGTAAAATGTTACGTTACTGTCCTTTCGTCTACTTGTGCAGCCTACAGCTCTACGTGTGTTTAACCATGCTGATGGAATTGGTTTTCGCTGCTATTTAGCTCCGTTTATTGGCGCTTAACAGATAAACACAGCGGTGGTCAGCGGGGAGGTGCTGGCTTCTTGCCCTCCAACCAGAAGCTGGGGGGCAGGGGTGATGGCGCTTGACATCACGTGTCAGGACGTAAGCAGAGCAAAATCTTCTGCTACTAATTGTCAAGATTTCTAGGAGTGTGTGTGTGTGTGTGTGTGTGCTGATGGCCTAAAACCATTCTGGTACTGCAGAACTAATAACACTTTACATTAGCATAAAATTCACCTCTCCGTTGAGTAGGGGTGTAGCTGCAAACGTCTGTTTATGGTTTTAGTTAAACTGTTCTCTTGTGTTTTATTTAACCCAAAGTTTAGGTATCGGATTAGAAGGTGTGCTGTTTCATTATTCAGATTAAAAAAGGCTTGAAGAGGAAAGCTGATGCTGCCATCCCCACAACCTCGGCCGTCAACAACAGTGGGGTATCTGCTGGGGAGGAACATTCAGCGTCTTGCACATTGTTCTCCAGGAGAGGCAATGGGCGGCCCATCAAACCTCCCAAGAAGGATTTGCCCGTGTGTGAGGGCAAGAGGGACAAACTGCCTGAGCAGCTAGAACACTGTGACCGTATTCTGAAGGAGATGGTTTCTAAGAGGCACAGCACATATGCCTGGCCCTTTTATTTGCCAGTGGATACGGTTGCTTTGGGCTTGCATGACTACCACGACATCATCAAACAGCCTATGGACCTGAGCACCATCAGGGTAAAACGGTGTGACTCTGGTTGATTAGAAAAGTTAACACCAGTCAATTTTTCTGATTGTGGTTCTTTCATTAGATTAAGATGGATCAACGCGTCTACGCTAACGCCAAGGAATTTGCTTCTGATATCCGACTAATGTTCTCCAACTGTTACAAGTACAACCCACCGTCACATGAAGTGGTCTACATGGCAATACAGTTGCAGGTAGCATTTATTTCAGCAGGATTGGGCTTCAATATGTTTGCTTCTTCTCTTTTCTCTCAATGTCTTTCCATTTTTTCCTGATTACCAACAGCTATCATTAGCAAACTGGTCAAGTCAAGTAGGGGTGGCCACACCTTTCCACTGTGTGAGCTACTTTTGCAGTGAACTATTAAAAGCTACCATTGGTGGTGGTGGTGGGGGGGGGGGGGGGGGGTCACTGCCGTAGTGGTGTGTTGGCAATCGGTGTATGACTGATTTTGCTGTTATCAACATTAATTTTTTTCTGTCGCTTTTGGCATGCCTATGGAAATTATGCATGCCTTGCATCAAACTGACTTATTGCGAACCTCTGATCTAAAGCTAGAACTGCCATTCACTTGCAAAATTTATACGTAAATTTGAACTGGAATCAATTTGCAGGATAAATTATTTCTAACATTTATTCTTTATGTGCAAATATCTGAGCAGTGTGTTTTGAATTAGAGTGAGTAGTCTCAATTTAAAGGTAAAGTATGTTCTACAAACATAGGCTATTCTTGAATTGAAATATTAATGTTATGTATATTAATACATTTATGCTGTCTACAGGATGTTTTCGAGACTCTTTATAAGAAAATTCCCCAAGAACCAGAAGATTGTTCCAAATCCCTTAAAGCTGCCGACAAAGTGAAAAGAAGAGTTGGAAGTATCTCAACCTCAGAGAGTTCTGACAGCGAAACGTCCTCAGAGGCTGAGGGGCCTTCAGATCAGTTTGCCATGCAGTTGGCTCATCTAAAGGAGAAGGTTGACTTCACACATAACATTAAGGCCTAGTCCACACGTAGCCGGGGTTTTTGAAAACGAATATCCTCCCCTCCAAAAACTTGCATCCACACCACCTCGTTTTAAAAAAACTCTGTCCACACGTACCCGGATAAATACGTTGTTAAGGACATGCCAGACCTGTAGGCGGCAGTACTTCCCCCGTTCTTAACCTCGTCCTTCGTCTGTGGTCTTCCGCAAGCAGCAGTAATTCCGCTTGCAAAAACAAACAAGCAAAAAGCGCTTGGACAATTGATAAAGCGAGCGCAGCTCTGAGGGCATCCATGCTGTCGGCTAGTGTAAACACAGGTCGCACACGTGATGTCAGCATTTTTTGTCGCGGAAAGTGACGTTGCAGACCTTAAAACTCCGGTTTTGTCTGTCCACACGCAGACACCCAAAACGGAGAAAACGCAGATCTTCACTTTGGCCGGAGTTTTTAAAAAGATCCGTTTTCGTGTGAAAAAACTCCGTTTTCGTGTGGATGACAGGCCAAAACGTAGAAAAATATCTACGTTTTGGCAGATCCCCGGCTACGTGTGGACAGGGCCTGAGACATGTTTCTCTATATACCCGTTCCATGTATTTTACCTGCTTTACTAATTAAATGGTGTTCTTGTTTTCTCTCAGCTGCAGGTTGTTCGCAGTCAGCTGAAGAAACTAACTCACGGACCGCGATTAAAACCTAAGGGAAAAGAGAAGCTGAAAAAAGAAAAGAAACCTTGTAAAACGGTTAATTCTCGACTAAAGAAAACTACTCCAAAGCCTCAAGCTGTTGGAGAAAAAAGCACTAAAAGCAAAAACACCGTTTTGTAAGTGAAACCTAAGGACTGTGGGCTGTACATTACGCCAGATCTGTTCATGACCTTGGATGTTGTTTTATGTGTGTCTAGACATGGAGACAAACCTCACGACTACAGGAAACCCATGCAATCATTAGAGCCAGTCACTTACCTGGAGATGAAGCAGCTACAGTCAGACATAAACAAAGTTCCTAGCGACAGACTGTGTGAGATGCTGAAGATCATTCAGAGCAGGGAGACCTGTCTGCAACACGCTACACTTGAGGAGGTTGAAGTTGATTTTCAAATGCTCAAGACTTCGACTCTGAGAGCCCTACAGATGTTTGTTGCATCATGTGTCAAGGAACGCAAAAATTGTGGAAGAGGTACGTATACCTTTACCTAAAATTGGAAGTTTTGCTCTTAGTGTCGCTTTATGGCTGTTCTGTTTGGTTCTATAGAGAAAAAACTGAAGGCCAAAGGAGGAAAGCAGACTGACAAAGTAAAGAATGGTAGAAAACTAAAAATTATCGCCAATGAAAAGCAGGTGCTTATGAAGCAAAAGCCGCAAGGTAAGAGCTGAATTTGACACTGTTGTTTTAGACGGTTATATTTGAATATAAGGCTTTTTAGAATTAAAATAACTCTTTCTGTAAATGACTGAAGTTGTGGCTTCACCTAAAGCCAGTAGCCAGTCCTTCCTCAGCAGCAGCTCATCGTCCAGTAGCATCAGCAGTTCCAGCGTCAGTACGTCTGATAGCAGTGACTCTGAATCAGGTCAGTTCTTCATAAATCCCTCTTGTGCACAGGCGTGTGCCATGGCACCGCTGAGGATCTGATATTTATTTAGCGTATTTAGTTATTTAAATATTTCCACAGAACATTTGCCTTTATGTAGGAAAGTCATTGGCCACCAGGTCTTGCATAGCTTTGTCCAGGAATAAGAGGTCAAGTTGTTTGTAATTCGCCAGCTTTTCCTTCAGTTGCTCATATGTGTTTGTATGTGATTTGTACATTATTATTTATTTTGTCATTGCCTGTGCAGTGGGGCAAATGTATATAAGCAGCCACCAATTGTGCAAGTTGTCCCGTTTGGAGGGTAGAGGTTTCAGGGTTTCCTCCAGCACTTTATAAGCCTGGCGGGCCGCCAGGCTAAGCATCATGCCCCGCCCCTACCGTGTCCGCTGACACGAACGGCGCAACGAAACTAGAGCCCTCCATCAGCTGATACTGGTGAGAAACAGCAGCGGAAAGTCGTCATTGGCATTTTTTTACTGTTTGAGCATCGGAACGAGCCCCCGCGCTGAGAGAACAAACATCTCAGCCCTGAAGCCAATCTTCATCCGCATACGTCACAGATCACATGATCAGGAAGCAACACATCCATGTGTTAGGAGATCGTTTTGGGCCATTCCTGTAAAGAAAGTGAGGCGCATACTGGAAAAGTGTCTACCGATCACAATTCGACAACGGATTATGAAAGAACGGATAACGCTCGAAACACGCGGCTTCTTCCTGATGTAAGAGGCAAGTCTCCTCTTTGTTTTGGTTGTTTTGGCATCGACATCATGCTAGTGTGCAACGTTCTGTGACTCTTAAAAAAACAGTAAAACCGGTGAGAAACGCTGGCAGCGAAGGCCGTTAGTGATCAGGAAACGGCTGGCAGTGAGTGAGTTAAAAACCCTACAACGGGATTTTCCGTGGGTTTTTTTTAACATTCTGTCTCTCAGTGGAAGAGTATCTTTTGATAATTACATTGATCTTTTTTTCAATTGGAACAACTTGCACAATCGGTGGCAGCCAAATAATGTTTTGCCCCACTGTAACTCCAGTTGAAAAGTGCTTTAGGATCCTAGCTCGGATGCCTGACTCTATTCTGTAAAGTTATCAGTGTCTATATTTTTCAGTTTCTGAAATACAGAAGCTTCAAGACTCTGGCCAAAAAGCTAAAAGAAAGGTAAGTAAATGCGTCATTAATTCGCTCACATAGAGCAAAAAATGCCTGCTTGATTCGTTTTGAATCTTTGGAGGCTTTATTTTAGGAGCCAGCGTTAAGCAGATGTATGATACTTAAAACATCTTTCATCTTTCTACTTCTGGGAAGTTTGTGGGTACAGAAAATCGATGCTCCCCAATGGAGCAAAAGGCAGACCAGACCTGTGACGAGCGGATTTCACCAGGTAATTCTTGTCATCTTTTATTTAATTAGGTTCTCTTGGTAGCCAATTCTGAGCTTTCTATGTTGATTCCAAATAGTGGAGAAATAGGCTTTAAACACATCTTCTCATGGGTCAAGTGATCAATAACATTGTGAACATTCACCTTCTTGAAAAGTAATCATGGGTGTACATAAGTACACCACTCCTGCGGTCTTCATCAGAGCTAGCCGCTAATGAGATTAGCTCTGAATCGTTGAAACTATCAGAAAGGTAAATAAACCTTTCCTGTGTTAAAAACAGAACCTAAAAATGCAATTAGAGTTGTCCGTGCTCAGAAGCAATCCAACCTGAATGAAATGGAGATGTTTTGTAAAGAAGAATAGTCCAGAATACCTTCTACCAGAATCCAGACTCATTGAAACATTTAGAGGCATTTTTTTTTCTGCAAAAGGAGGATCTACTAAATATTGAGTTAATTTCGTTGTGCGGTGCTGAAATGTATGCACCTGCCTAATTTTGTTCAAACACTTTCTGTAAATCCTATAAACTTTGTTTCACTTCTCAGTTATCGCTGTGTGTATCCTATATGATATACAGAACAGAACATTTTTATCGATGTGTACAGGACAACCACGAAGATTAACCAGGCTCTTCTTTTCCATCCACCCATTTTCCTATTGATTTATACACGTTTCTGATTTTTCAATCATGATGTAATGATGGCATTTGATGTCTTTTGTAGTTGAGTGTGCTGCTGTCTCCAATGTAGATGTAGATGTTTTTTATTTCAGGCAAATGCATTGCCACACAATAATGTATAACTATACAAATTTGTATCGAACTTATATGCACGAGATAGAAACACATGAAACATACAATTTACAATTTCCAGTACCTGAAAGGAAATAGTAAATTGTACCGTTTAATCTTGTGCAAATGTTTTTTATTTTTTTCTCAGTAGTTTTTATGTTTATGGTTCTTGTTTGTTGTTGATTCTAGTACAATCAAACATTTTCCTCAGTTTTTATAGCTTGTGTATATTTATGAATATGTCTTCATACAGCTGCAATACTTTTAAGAATGTCATCTTGTTTGACAGGTCTGTCGGCCCTCTTATCCCCCCTGGTGTCTCCGATAGTTCCTCCTGACTGGACTGCTGCCAGATTTGAGGTACACCTGAAAAATAAAAGCTTTGCACGAAACTAACATGAAGGTTTTTTGGGTTAAGGTTGTTTTTTATAATTTATACTCCAGTTTGTGTTGTTTTTACTATAATACACACTCCAGTTTGTGGTGTTTTTACTATAACACACACTCCAGTTTGTGTTGTTTTTACTATAACACACACTCCAGTTTGTGTTGTTTTTACTATAACACACACTCCAGTTTGTGGTGTTTTTACTATAACACACACTCCAGTTTGTGTTGTTTTTACTATAATACACACTCCAGTTTGTGTTGTTTTTACTATAACACACACTCCAGTTTGTGTTGTTTTTACTATAACACACACTCCAGTTTGTGTTGTTTTTACTATAACACACACTCCAGTTTGTGTTGTTTTTACTATAACACACACTCCAGTTTGTGTTGTTTTTACTATAACACACACTCCAGTTTGTGTTGTTTTTACTATAACACACACTCCAGTTTGTGTTGTTTTTACTATAACACACACTCCAGTTTGTGTTGTTTTGACTATAACACACACTCCAGTTTGTGGTGTTTTTACTATAACACACACTCCAGTTTGTGTTGTTTTGACTATAACACACACTCCAGTTTGTGTTGTTTTTACTATAACACACACTCCAGTTTGTGTTGTTTTTACTATAACACACACTCCAGTTTGTGTTGTTTTTACTATAACACACACTCCAGTTTGTGGTGTTTTTACTATAATACACACTCCAGTTTGTGTTGTTTTTACTATAACACACACTCCAGTTTGTGTTGTTTTGACTATAACACACACTCCAGTTTGTGTTGTTTTGACTATAACACACACTCCAGTTTGTGTTGTTTTTACTATAACACACACTCCAGTTTGTGTTGTTTTGACTATAACACACACTCCAGTTTGTGTTGTTTTGACTATAACACACACTCCAGTTTGTGTTGTTTTTACTATAACACACACTCCAGTTTGTGTTGTTTTTACTATAACACACACTCCAGTTTGTGTTGTTTTTACTATAACACACACTCCAGTTTGTGTTGTTTTTACTATAACACACACTCCAGTTTGTGGTGTTTTTACTATAACACACACTCCAGTTTGTGTTGTTTTTACTATAACACACACTCCAGTTTGTGGTGTTTTTACTATAATACACACTCCAGTTTGTGGTGTTTTTACTATAACACACACTCCAGTTTGTGTTGTTTTTACTATAACACACACTCCAGTTTGTGTTGTTTTGACTATAACACACACTCCAGTTTGTGTTGTTTTGACTATAACACACACTCCAGTTTGTGTTGTTTTTACTATAACACACACTCCAGTTTGTGTTGTTTTTACTATAACACACACTCCAGTTTGTGGTGTTTTTACTATAACACACACTCCAGTTTGTGTTGTTTTTACTATAACACACACTCCAGTTTGTGGTGTTTTTACTATAACACACACTCCAGTTTGTGGTGTTTTTACTATAATACACACTCCAGTTTGTGTTGTTTTTACTATAACACACACTCCAGTTTGTGGTGTTTTTACTATAACACACACTCCAGTTTGTGGTGTTTTTACTATAACACACACTCCAGTTTGTGGTGTTTTTACTATAACACACACTCCAGTTTGTGTTGTTTTTACTATAACACACACTCCAGTTTGTGGTGTTTTTACTATAACACACACTCCAGTTTGTGTTGTTTTTACTATAACACACACTCCAGTTTGTGGTGTTTTTACTATAATACACACTCCAGTTTGTGTTGTTTTTACTGTAACACACACTCCAGTTTGTGGTGTTTTTACTATAACACACACTCCAGTTTGTGTTGTTTTTACTATAACACACACTCCAGTTTGTGTTGTTTTTACTATAACACACACTCCAGTTTGTGTTGTTTTTACTATAACACACACTCCAGTTTGTGTTGTTTTTACTATAACACACACTCCAGTTTGTGTTGTTTTTACTATAATACACACTCCAGTTTGTGTTGTTTTTACTATAACACACACTCCAGTTTGTGTTGTTTTTACTATAATACACACTCCAGTTTGTGTTGTTTTTACTATAATACACACTCCAGTTTGTGGTGTTTTTACTATAACACACACTCCAGTTTGTGTTGTTTTTACTATAACACACACTCCAGTTTGTGTTGTTTTTACTATAACACACACTCCAGTTTGTGTTGTTTTTACTATAACACACACTCCAGTTTGTGTTGTTTTTACTATAACACACACTCCAGTTTGTGTTGTTTTGACTATAACACACACTCCAGTTTGTGTTGTTTTGACTATAACACACACTCCAGTTTGTGTTGTTTTGACTATAACACACACTCCAGTTTGTGTTGTTTTGACTATAACACACACTCCAGTTTGTGTTGTTTTTACTATAACACACACTCCAGTTTGTGGTGTTTTTACTATAACACACACTCCAGTTTGTGGTGTTTTTACTATAACACACACTCCAGTTTGTGTTGTTTTTACTATAATACACACTCCAGTTTGTGGTGTTTTTACTATAATACACACTCCAGTTTGTGTTGTTTTTACTATAACACACACTCCAGTTTGTGTTGTTTTTACTATAACACACACTCCAGTTTGTGGTGTTTTTACTATAACACACACTCCAGTTTGTGTTGTTTTTACTATAACACACACTCCAGTTTGTGGTGTTTTTACTATAACACACACTCCAGTTTGTGTTGTTTTTACTATAACACACACTCCAGTTTGTGTTGTTTTTACTATAACACACACTCCAGTTTGTGTTGTTTTTACTATAACACACACTCCAGTTTGTGTTGTTTTTACTATAACACACACTCCAGTTTGTGTTGTTTTTACTATAACACACACTCCAGTTTGTGGTGTTTTTTCTATAATACACACTCCAGTTTGTGTTGTTTTTACTATAACACACACTCCAGTTTGTGTTGTTTTGACTATAACACACACTCCAGTTTGTGTTGTTTTGACTATAACACACACTCCAGTTTGTGTTGTTTTTACTATAACACACACTCCAGTTTGTGGTGTTTTTACTATAACACACACTCCAGTTTGTGTTGTTTTTACTATAACACACACTCCAGTTTGTGGTGTTTTTACTATAATACACACTCCAGTTTGTGTTGTTTTTACTATAACACACACTCCAGTTTGTGTTGTTTTTACTATAACACACACTCCAGTTTGTGTTGTTTTGACTATAACACACACTCCAGTTTGTGTTGTTTTGACTATAACACACACTCCAGTTTGTGTTGTTTTTACTATAACACACACTCCAGTTTGTGTTGTTTTTACTATAACACACACTCCAGTTTGTGGTGTTTTTACTATAACACACACTCCAGTTTGTGTTGTTTTTACTATAACACACACTCCAGTTTGTGGTGTTTTTACTATAACACACACTCCAGTTTGTGGTGTTTTTACTATAATACACACTCCAGTTTGTGTTGTTTTTACTATAACACACACTCCAGTTTGTGGTGTTTTTACTATAACACACACTCCAGTTTGTGGTGTTTTTACTATAACACACACTCCAGTTTGTGGTGTTTTTACTATAACACACACTCCAGTTTGTGTTGTTTTTACTATAACACACACTCCAGTTTGTGGTGTTTTTACTATAACACACACTCCAGTTTGTGTTGTTTTTACTATAACACACACTCCAGTTTGTGGTGTTTTTACTATAATACACACTCCAGTTTGTGTTGTTTTTACTGTAACACACACTCCAGTTTGTGGTGTTTTTACTATAACACACACTCCAGTTTGTGTTGTTTTTACTATAACACACACTCCAGTTTGTGTTGTTTTTACTATAACACACACTCCAGTTTGTGTTGTTTTTACTATAACACACACTCCAGTTTGTGTTGTTTTTACTATAACACACACTCCAGTTTGTGTTGTTTTTACTATAACACACACTCCAGTTTGTGTTGTTTTTACTATAACACACACTCCAGTTTGTGTTGTTTTTACTATAATACACACTCCAGTTTGTGTTGTTTTTACTATAATACACACTCCAGTTTGTGGTGTTTTTACTATAACACACACTCCAGTTTGTGTTGTTTTTACTATAACACACACTCCAGTTTGTGTTGTTTTTACTATAACACACACTCCAGTTTGTGTTGTTTTTACTATAACACACACTCCAGTTTGTGTTGTTTTTACTATAACACACACTCCAGTTTGTGTTGTTTTGACTATAACACACACTCCAGTTTGTGTTGTTTTGACTATAACACACACTCCAGTTTGTGTTGTTTTGACTATAACACACACTCCAGTTTGTGTTGTTTTTACTATAACACACACTCCAGTTTGTGTTGTTTTTACTATAACACACACTCCAGTTTGTGGTGTTTTTACTATAACACACACTCCAGTTTGTGGTGTTTTTACTATAACACACACTCCAGTTTGTGTTGTTTTTACTATAATACACACTCCAGTTTGTGTTGTTTTTACTATAACACACACTCCAGTTTGTGTTGTTTTTACTATAACACACACTCCAGTTTGTGTTGTTTTTACTATAACACACACACCAGTTTGTGTTGTTTTTACTATAACACACACTCCAGTTTGTGTTGTTTTTACTATAACACACACTCCAGTTTGTGTTGTTTTTACTATAATACACACTCCAGTTTTACTATAATACACACTCCAGTTTGTGGTGTTTTTACTATAACACACACTCCAGTTTTACTATAATACACACTCCAGTTTGTGGTGTTTTTACTATAACACACACTCCAGTTTGTGTTGTTTTTACTGTAACACACACTCCAGTTTGTGTTGTTTTTACTATAATACACACTCCAGTTTGTGGTGTTTTTACTATAACACACACTCCAGTTTGTGGTGTTTTTACTATAATACACACTCCAGTTTGTGGTGTTTTTACTATAATACACACTCCAGTTTGTGGTGTTTTTACTAT